TTCTTCCCTTTCTTTACAGCATCCAGAAAGAAGGTAACCTAGTTGGCAGGGTCAATGGCATTCACGGTTTCTCAGCAGCATCAGCGTTAACTCACCAGAGAAGGCAGCACACCGATACGGTCTGCTCCACTCTACTGTGGGGGTAAGCACTGGACGAACCTTCCACTGACACTGGGCACTCTTGAGTTTGTCAATGAAAGCTCGACCAGCAATGATTCTACCCAGCAGGCCAAGGAGCATGGAAGTCTTCGCATGAAAGGAGAGAAGGGAAACCAAGAGGTGAAAACCAAGAGGTGAACTCCCTGATTTTCTACAGGCATCTAACCCACTACCTCCCTTAAGGGACTACGCGCATTTGCCACCAAACTGCTACAGCCACAGCATCCCCAGTGAGATCCTGCAAGCATCTTGCACTAACTTTGAGCCTTTCTACCTTTAGTACCAGAGGATTACCTGCCCTAGATTTAGCATAACCTGGAGCAGAATTCAGCTCAGGGAACCGAGCCTGGCTCCTCAGGCTGCCAGAGAAATACTGTTACAGTGCATTAACACTACCAGTGCTTACGTGGGACTTTTCATCCAAGAGTTAGATGGTATTCCACAGTGGCAAGCAGGTATTACAGAGGGGAGAACAAAAAATTATAGACCCGATTCCAGGAAAAATGCTGGAACAAATTATTTAATAATCGGTTTTGAGTATCTAAATGATAATTAGGTGATAAATACCCAGAGAACACTGCCAAGAACAACTTGTATGAACCAGTCTAATTTTGTTCTTTGAGAAGATTAGGTTAACCTAGTAGACAAAGGGAGAGCAGCAAGCGCGATATATCTTGAGTACGACTCTGGCCAGTGTCCCACATGCTATCTTCATGAGCAACCTGAGGAAAAACGGCCTCAAAGAAACCACAGTAAAATTAACCACTGACTCAACACTCACTCCCTTGAGCCCCACCATACCTAAAAACATTGCACCTCTGGAATACGAGATTACCCTCAGCCATTCAAATCTCTCTTTTAATGCCCAGGGCACAGTGAGGTTAATAAAAGCAGCTTTAAAAATTTCCTGGCTTGTGGCATTTTAATTTGAGCTATTTGAATTCCCTGATCTCTGTGCCTTCCTGCGTGCAGCAGCCTTTGTTCATCTTCCTCGCAAAAAGCCTGCTGTAGGTGGACAGGTCTAGCATGGCAGAGTGTGCGTGCTGCACGCTTCAAAAGTGCTAACACTTCAGGGTTTAAGTCCCGCTGTGGTACAGTGTTTGGTCTCCGTTTACTTCAGATAGGTCTCGTTTGCTACTTGAAAAATTTTCGTATGAAGTCATTTCATTTTTTTTTTCCTTTCTGATGTTAAAAAAAGAAAGAAGAAGGGAAAAAAGGTTTTCAAGGTACTTTTGAGAGCATGCTGTTGCCCTTTCTCACATCTACTTTCTAACTTCACCATGCAACACCCAATACGCAGCTGATGCTTGGAAAAGCACCCCTAAGGAAACATGGGAACATTTGGTTTTTTGTGGATTTTGGGGAGCAGAACAAGGCGCAGATGGAGATGCTGCTTGGAGCAGGCCATAGCTCACAACTGCAGAGCAGGGATGCTGCTCACGCCTCTACCTGATATTCCTCACCATTCTTCAGTGGCAGCACGAAGGCATCGCCAGCTCCCAAAAGCTTCTATATTTCAAGCAGTCCTGCTCGTCTCCTTTGTGAAACACCTTACGATGGTCCTCGGTTAAGGTGGCCGAACTTTTGATTTTTGCTGAGGACAATCCCTTTTGTCTCACAGAAATTTCTGATGGAAAAAAAAAAAAAACTTGTATGGTGGTTTGTCCAGGATTCCTGCCTATCTAGCAACTCTATCAAGAACAGAGTTTAAACGAGAACATCTGACATGCAGGAGTCCCAGGCTACCCAAACTTCCCATAAAACTCGGAAGTTCTGGGATTCCTTCCAAAACTTCTACACAAGGAATCTGTAGATCTCTCTAATCTCTCTGGTTAACAAGAGCAACCACCACAGAGCTGGAGATCTTCCCCATGCTGCTTCTGTGAGTGGTGCTGCACTAACAGCACGCAACTCCATCCATCATCCTATCACCTCAGGGTGAAGGAAATGTCTTCAAGTGATTTGTCTTTTCTTACCTGGTGAGTGTGTTAGGACGCCAGTGCAGAGGAAAAGCAGCCAGGATAGACTAACAGGTAATAGGACAGAAGACACTCTCTTGGTAGTATCACACTTTATTTTAAATAAATAAATAAATCCCCGAGCCTCTTCTTTGTTTTCCTTCATGAAATTAAAGACTTCAAAAACAAAACCTGCAGTGATTCCCCCCACCCCCCTTTCCCACTGTATAGACGCTTGTAATTACGGAGTCGCAAGCTCCTGGGGTGCCTGGGGCTACTGAAACCAGCTTGCTCTTCCTCCCTGACATCCGTACCGATTTATTATTGTAAGGCTATTAACCGGCATCGTCCATACCAGTTATTGTAGGGTCTCAGGGCTTTCCGTTTGCCGTCTGAACATTACGTTGAACCACACGCTCCTGTTTGATGACGGCAGATGGAAACCATCTGCAGGGATGTTGGTACCAATTTATCTATTTTTGTTAAGATACAAAGTGAAGAGCAGTGTTTTCAAGCACACACAGAACATATCCATCAAGGGCTGCTCATTCGGTGAGCCCACACATGTCCGAGTGCAGGAAGGCCGCGCTCTTTTGTTCCAGCCGTGTCGTGAGCTAATACAGTGGGCAGCGTTTCTAAGCGAGGCAGCGACCCGTCTTGCAGAAGCACGGGGCAGGAGCCCCGTTCCACATTACCCTCTCCTGACATTTACTTAATGACAATATCTGAGGAGACTGCAAAGAAAGGTAACCGGTGTGCATGCGTTACGGGGCCTCCCGTGATTAAAGGGAGCGGGTTCGGGTGATGCATCGCTGATTCAGACACGGGCACCCAGGGCAAAACTGTCTGCAAGCCATCTCGGCTGCTGTCTCAGGGGCTGGAGCCTCCTTCTGCTATGTGGGAAGTAGGTCAGGAAGCCCAATTTGCGATGGGTGCAATGCAGTCCCCTCGCAACGCCCTCCGTGACGGAAATAGGATCTATAGGTAGGTGCCTGGCTGTCTGGCAAAAGCTGCTGTTTCTCCATCTGCTTTTGCTTTTTCACAATCCACTGAGGAGGGCCCTGGTGTTACATCGGTCACCTCAGGTAGCCACAAAATGATAGGTGACCTGAGCGCAATGGGATACCTATTCAAATATTTACAGGTTTCAAAAGTCTTCAGTTGGTCCGAGCATTCGCATCAAAAAAAAAAAAATTGTTTTGTGCAGCATAATAACTATTCGTGTTTTTTAACCAAAACTACAACGTATTGAGATTTATTGTTTGTTTATCCTGCATTTTGATTCTCTTTTCTTATGGTGCTTTTATTATGCCCAGATATCCCATTCTTCCTTCCTTTATGCCTTTAATTTTTCCTTGTAGAATACCCTGAAAAACACTATTTAAAACTGAACAGACAACTCGTGCTTCATTCAATACCTGCTCCCTGTTTTAAGAAGGAAAAAAAAAAAAAAACTGCAAAGCTAAAACTCATAAGAAAACAGAAAACCAATAGAACCTTTACACTTCCTTTTTATTTCCATCCAGGGGGAGCAGCTATTCGCAAGACAACAAAACACTTCCCAAAGACCGTTTGCAACATTGACAAGTCAGAAACCAAAGTCAGGCTGCCTTAATAAATAGCACTGCCGAAACGGAAGGCAATATAAGAGAAGGGTGACGTTTTCCCAGGAGCCAAGTGAAAACACAGCCCTTTGCCATGTTACAGAGGTCTCACATCCCGATGCTCCTGCTGAGGTCTGAACCTCCAGTGATACCGCCGCCGCAGCCTCGCGCTGCTGTGCAAGCTGGAGCCAGTCTCAAAATGAAATGTAAGATGATGCTGCAGCTAAAGCAAGCACAGCCCTACTGCATTTCACCATCTGGGCTGGGAGCTGGCATGCATCTTGAGAGCTGGAGACACGGCCTTATCTGCCCATGACCATGTGCGCTGGTCCCTGTCAGTTAGAGAGCGGCAAGTATCCCCCTTCAACATAAGCTCCTAGGCTCTAGTGAAAACTCAGTACTCTACCCACCGCTGCCACCATCCTGTTCTTCTGGCTAAGGTTGCCTCCTACAACTTGCCTGTGTCAAGAAGGGGCCACGTTAGAGCAAATATCTTCAACAACTAGAGGTTATAATCATTAGCTGCTCCCTGTGTTATGACAATTGTATTAAGAGTTGTTTTTTTATGAAGCATAGCTTTACCTTGTGCTTTAGAGACTGCTGCAAATATACAGGTTGATATCTGGTTGCTTTTGTCTTTCTAATTTAGCATTTCTAGAGTCCTTTGGGGGAAGGAGAGAACAGGTAAGGAGAGTAAATCTGGTCTTTGTTTAAAAACACATCACAAAAGCAGAATTTGCAGCCATTTGCAAAACACTGTTCATGATTTCAGCGCTCTCTGAGCAAGTCTTGCTTCCCTGTTGCCACATCTGAACACATTTCTCAGATTAGAGTAGCCTCCCCAGCAGTTGAGTACCCACTCTGGAAGCACAGCCCTCTCCCATCTGTCCCCATCATTAATGCACCTACAGCCAGCCAGAGGGTAACCATTGGGACAACCTTTGCACAAAGATGCTAGGAAGATGAGGGCAGAGACATGCGGGTGTGGAGAACATGCCCCATTTCTTCTCTAAGCCCCTAGAAAAGCCTCCAAAATCCACAGCAGCACTGCTCTTCGATGGCAAACAAAAAGACGCATTACACCCTCAGGTCCTGATACAAATCAAACCCAGCAAAAGCTTGGCCTTCACCTTTGGATATCACTATGCAGAAATGACCTCTGGAGAGCGTGTGATGTTTAGCTACTGAAACGCATCAGCCACATCGAACACGAGCAAGTACAACTTCACTCCCTAGGAAGTCTGGTAAAATAAATTACAGCAGGGGATCAATACTTTACCGAGAGGTTGATAGCCTTGTCTCGAAGGGCCTCCAAATGGGTTCCTGCTTCCAAATCCACTCCCATCAATGGATCCGTAAGACATTTTCTAGACAGCAATGAATGCAGGATTGTATTTTAAACCTACAAAAACAGAAAAGGACACAAATAACACTGGTTAAAAGTCAGTTCAATCCCAGTACTATGTCAAAAAAACAAGGCAAATGAAAAAGCACAGGCCTATCTCTAAACTTCAGGATATCCAACAGCAAGAAAAAAAGGCACTAAAATCCCACTCTCCTGGACTATAGCTGTTCTTGAGGGCAACCAAGTCATTTGACCTCTCCGGGCCTTATTTTCTTCAGTGATAAAGGATAACCATTTATCTGTTTTGGCCATGGCAGGACTTTAATTCCTCACTGTTCACAAAGTGCTTCGAGATCCTGAGCTGACAGGCAAACACTAGGCACTCTATCAAAAAAAAAAAGGTAATGCTGTCTTCTGGAACGTTACCACTACGGAGCTGCCCAGGAACCTATCCATCATACTGCAGTCTTGATGAGCTCTCAAAAGAGACAGTTTACTGCTATATTATAAGCTCCTGGGTCTCTAGTATAAATATTGGAGCCAGAGTTCTTTTTTCTTGCTAGTTAAAAAAAAAAAAAAAAATGTTGCAAGACCTAAGGTAGTAGTGGCAGACTAAAATCTATAAGGTTCTGGCAAAGAAAGTCTCTCTCTTCTCCCTCCCCACTGCAGATGTCTTCTCACCACTGCCCCCAGACACCCCTCATCGTACTAGAGGGTCCCAGGACTTAAAAGGGGCTCAGCCCTAAGGCATGAGGGAGATGATGGCAAAGGAAGAGCGCAGACAGAGGTGCTGCATCACAAGGGGTAAAACACAGCAGCAGGACCAAACCCCAGTCTTGGTGTAAGGAAATGGCTGCTGGAAAAAAAACACCCCAAAACAGGGAAAGTCTGAAAGCTGGGGACTGACTTGTTCACTGAAAAGGGGAGAAGACAATGTTGCCCATTGGGCTGCCCTTCATCATAAGTGATACGGTGACACTGCAGAAGAGCAGCATCGGACAGTCCAGTAGGGAGGACTGAGTTGGCATGAGATGACTGGAAATAGCATGTCATCCATGTACTGAGCTGCTCTGCCTTATAAATGCCACTTACTAAGCGAAGGACCTCTTAAAGACCCAAGTCTTAAACATCTCTCCCCAATAAGCATTTGAAACCCATCAGTGCTGTGGCAGAAGATGCTGGGGTATAAAGCTGACCAACAGGATGTCCAGGGCCTCGTTTTTGGCTCTGATACTGGAGGCACATGGCCTGGATGAGACACCTTCCCTCTGATATGCAAAAAGTTGGGAATGGCTGCTGGTTTGAAAGAACTTTCTGATACACTGCCAGTTATGTATTAATAATGACCCTCAGCTATCCTGAAGGTAGCGTGATGTCCCAAAGTCCACATGATTTATTAATCCAGGGCCTTGTTGCATAACACAGCAGAGGGCTGAAGTCTCTTTTGGGGTGCACTGACTCAGCAGCGTGCACTGCAGCTATTCCTTTCATTTGTCCACTGTGAAGAGCAGAGCACTAGAAATTCCCAGTCATCTCCCGGGACAACAGTCTCAGGAACCTCTTGCACTTCATTCCCCCTTTTTTTCTTTTAGAGTTTCAAAATTAAGCAAAAAATAAAAATAAAAAATTACTGCTAAGATAAACCAGACAGGGAATCTCTAAGATTAAGGACATCACTTATCATGCTTACTTTGTTGGGCCAGACACATACACAAAGATGATGGTGCATCTCACCATTGCCTAGAGAGAATAAAGGATGGGAGCTGGATGCACCATCCAGCTAAACCCATTAGAAGTGGAGAAACTCCTGCGTACAGCTTCCTCACAAAGCCTCAGTGTACCCAAGCAGCCAGGAAGAAAAGGGACGTGTGCATGTAGGTGTATGTGTCATGTGTGTGTGTTGAAGAGACTGAAAATTAAGTAAATGAGACTAAATGTTAAAAGAAAGCATTGGCAAACCAAGGTTTTCTAATATACTAAAAATCAAAACAGTCAATTGTGTTGAACAGGTAAAACTCTAAGTGCCAATGAAGTATAATCTATGATGTCTTGAAGGACGTTCTCCTCCATGTCCACTAAGTAGTACACAGAGCACATGAAGATTCAGCCTAAGGTGACTTGGGAAGTCTCTGATGGGAACAAAATCTGCCTCTGCCCCATGTCTCAGGTTAGCCCACAACCACCTCAGTAACACAGCCTCCTTTGTAAAATGCCACCCAAGATCTAGCGATTCTTATCATTCACCTGGGAAACTAAGGACATACAGAAGACAGCTACGTGAAAGTTTCTTGGCAAGGACGTGGACCGTATGCAGGAAGAGCCTGGAACAGACTATCCGTCAAGTCGTTATCTTATTTTCTTCACCTCCAAGTGTGCCTACAGATTAAGAAGGCTGTAAGCAGGGAAGGAGGAGAATAGAACGGTTTGAAAACTCTAGACGGTGGTTGATCCTTCTATGAGGGAACAGAAAAAAGAAGTAAACTTCCTTTTTAGACATGGGCAACTGGAAGCTTATGCCGTCATGACTTTCCCCAAGGTCACATATAAAACAAGTGGAGTAAAAGCCTGCATCATGTTGTAAGATGACTTGATTACAACTGGGCAAATATTTCTTTGGCAGACAGTGAATACATCTATTTTTCCCCCAAACAGAGTGGCATGGAAGGGTGGGAGAAGGAAGGCTTTTTAGAACACTCCAAATGTTTCATGTTGATTTTTCATTTTCAAAGCATGTTTCCATTTTAAAATATCCCCCTCCCCCCCACCCCGCCAAGGGATAAAAAAAGAAAGAATTATTTGAAAATGAAATATTTTGTTTCAGTTTAACCAACCTTTTTAGAAACAACCACCTCCCTTCCACTCTAGCAAGCCAGTGAAATATCCCTTATTTAGACAGCTCCAGAACCACATTCCTACCCTGTAGTAATATATTTACAGGAAAATTTGAAAACAGATCTATATACTTCTGCTTTGATTGGCAGTAAAAGTATTTTCCTCCCCATCCCCATGGCGCCTCCCTTTTTTTGTTTACTGCCCCTCAGGGAAGCTTGTCCAACTTACGGTGAAGGCAGTTCACAGAAAATGGAACAAGCATTGCCTAATATACTAAATACAGTAAAACAAAAAATACAAGATTTAATTGCAGCTTTATCCTCCACACCTCAATGGGATCCCAAGCAAAGGATTGGTCCATGATTCATGGATTGGGAAAGCTATTGGCAGGCAAAACCAAGTAGAAAGAAATGAGAAAAGTTCCCGCATACGCATCGGTCTCTATGTAGAAGGCCAACTACATTCAGGTGGCCAGGATAATTCATAGTAGGAATAAAGAGGAAGATCTGAGTATGGAAGAAAATAAGCAGTTTAGAGGGCACTTTAGGTAAGTCAGATGCTTTCAAATCAGCTGAGCTTGACTGAGAATGATAGACATAGGCATATTAGAGGGAGTCCAGCAAAGGGCCACGAAGACTATCAAGGGACTGGAGCATCTCTCATGCAAGGAGAAGCTGAGAGAGCTGGGACTGTTCAGCTTGGAGAAGAAAAGGTTCAGGGGGGAATCTTATCCATATATTTAAATACCTGGTGGGAGGGAGTAAAGAGGACAGAGTCAGACTCTACTCAGCGATGCCCAGTGACAGGACAAGAGGCAATGGGCACAGGACCCATACAGCAAATTCCATTTAAACATAACAAAAAGCTTTTTTTTTACACTGCAAAGGTAATCAAACATAGAAATAGGCTGCCCAGAGAGGTTGTGGATTCTCCATGCTTGGAGATACTCAAAACCCAACCAGATGTGGCCATGAGCAACCTGCTGTATGTGACTAGATGGGGCTGGACTAGACAATCTCCAGAGGTTCCTGCCAACGTCAACCACTTCGTGATTTTGCTATTTTTCCTCCTAAGGTGCTTTCCAGAAAGACACTGGTATAAACAAACTCAATGAAAATATCTGAAGATAAAAACAAGAGTAAAAGTAAGCACGGATTTGGCAATAAGTCACATCAAACTGATGTTAACTTCTTTCTGCATCAAGTTATCAGGTTGCACAGTTAAAGAAGCAAAAAAAAAAAATTCTAGTTTTATGTTATTATTTGGTTTCCTTGCATGGCAGGAAAAATAGACTGGGGAAGGAGGGGAGTGGCATTGTGGTTCGAAAATGGGCTGTCATAGCCAAAGAATCAACTGAATAGGCTCCACCAAGCCCCACTCTGGGGCTAGCTCCATTTCGTGTTTTCAGTAATGAGGCCAGTGATGGACCAGGGATTAGCCTTACTAAATGCATATATGACACCAAATAGGGAGGCTAGATGACAGCTACTGAATTCAAAGCCATCCTAACAAAACAAGAGCGATGGTTGACAAAGAAAATCAGATGCTATGCAATTTGGGTTAACTGTAAGGAGCTGCATTTAGAAAGGAGCAAACAACTGCACAAACTGAGGATGGGGAATGAATAGCCAGAGGCAACACCGCTGCCGAAAAGGACCTACGGACACTACAAGACTGCAAGTCAAATATGAATACACAATGACATTTCTACACAATACACATTGTGTCGTACACAATGATACAATGACATGAAGACACAATGACAATACAGAATGACATTTCCTATAAAAAGCCGTAGACATCATCACAGGGTGTATAAATAGGATTAAAACCTTCAAGATAGGTAAAATAATCCTTTTGCCTGACTCTACACTGCAGAGCCTTCAGCTGTAGGCAATACACTCCAGTAAAGACTTTGCCAGAAACCGAAGAAAGTGCAGAGGGAGCCCTGAGGATGACAACACGTCAAGAAAACTTGACCTGCTAGAAAACACTGAGTAAATAGGGTTGTTTTTAGAAGGAAAGACTGATGGGGAAACATGAGCATTCAAATCTGTGAAAACCCACTGCAAAAACACAGGGAGTAAAACATTCACAGTGGACAACGGAATAGCTCTAAAAAAAAATAAAAAAAAATAAAAAAAACAAACAGGGAGTGCAATGACTCTGCCATCTATAACAGCCATCTTTACTCTGTGCTTACCCCACAAAGGGCTTCATTTTAG